GATTATTAAAATGGTAATATTTATCTTTTGTATAGCGATAAGAATGAATGATTTGTTTGATGAAGGTAAATGATTCATTAAATAAGGCAATACCACTTTATTAAATTTAAAATTCATAATGATTTTTCTTAATTAAAATTTGAGTAAGAGATATGGTTTCCGTAACATTAGTTACCTTCTTTTGGGTTTCATTTGAAAATATTTATTTAAATTCTTTGTTTTTCGCTATTTAGTTTGATTTTTTTTATTCATCAATTATTATTTGTTTGATTGGATACTTAAATATTAAAAATCAAAATCTTTTCAATATGAAATTTAAAAATTTCATTTTCGTTTTTGTATTTTTATCAATTATTTCTTTTGCTATATTACCTATAAGATCACAAGATATTTTCACATATGAGGATATACCAACAGTAAACGTCAGCGACAGCACACCCACTATATTTAATATAGTTAGTTATTACGATAACACGATAGTCATTCACTTAATTCGTCCAGATTTATCATACCCTGTAGAAGATGGTAAACTTTGGGTGGATAAATATTTGTCACTTCGCACTATTTATTCAAATGGGAACGTTATACCAATCGATATTAAATTGGATATACAAGACTTTAACTTTTGTATTTTGGATTTTAATGGAAATCAGGCGAGCCCCATTGGAATTTATCCCATAAGAAGCAATTTTCTGATAGTAACTTATTCAGAATCTACGAATTTAGCTGATCCTTTTAGTTATACTGATTGGGCAATGGTAGTTGACTTAAATGGAAAGATTTACAGGTTTGACTTAACTAAATAAAATTTAACTTTTTGTCGTAAATTATTTACTTTTTTCTTATTTATAGTAACATTTCATTTGGTCCGAGCTTTGTTGATGTTGCCTCGAATCAATGGGTCCCTAACTCAGCTGGGATTTTTGTAAACTTTGATCCCAATAAAGGATTTATCCGTTTCACACCTGTAACAAATTCTACTGATAAAATCTGGCAGCAATACGAAGTGTAATTCATTTTATATAAATTTTAAATATGACTGTAAAAAAGTAATTTACAATATTTATTAATTTATTAATTTATTTATTTATTAATTTTTTTTGATGAAGGACCGAAACGGGAGTAATAAATTTTCTCGCGCAAGATTACATGCATTTTCAAGGAAATCTTAACCTTATAAGTACTGTCATTCCAATGGTGGACGGTAGATACGCAATTGTATATGCTAATTCTACAGATGAGGCAACACTTAAAAATCCTTTTACTTTACGTGGTGGGATCTACATTAAAATTCTAGATAATGGCCATGCAACTAAACGAGAACCAGCTGTTCTTTATCAAACTCAAATTCAAGGATTAAAGTTTACTAACATAGATTGTAGTGTTTCTTACGTGGGAATTGGACAAACTTGTATTGTTACAAGCGAATTTACGACCCAAGCAGCTAAAAAATCATTTTATCTTAAGATTGATTTTCTTTCGTCTGGTTCCGTATACAACGTTAATCCATTGACGAGTAATATTCAAACGGATCCATTAATCAATCAATATGTTATTTCCTTATTGCCATATGGAGGTTTTTTGTTAAGTGGAATGGGATCATCAGATGGTAATAATATAGTTACCGGTTATCTATTAGGTGAAAATGGAGAATTCTTTCGTTGGGACCTTCCAATTCATACCGTGACAAACTTTGTCGGTATATCGAAAGTTTTGAGAAATAATACATATGTACTTGCTCAGCCGGCAGATAAACAGTACTGGGCACTGGTCACCACTAAATTGAATCAATTTGAGATAGAAAGAGGTAAATAATAACGCTAAAAAAAAAATAGAAAATTTCAATAAAAATTAATAATTTAATTTCTCAAATTATAATATTCTAGATCATGGATATGATAATTTCCACATTGACACTACATTTCCTAAAATTTCTGATAAAATTGATTCCAATACAAAGTATCTTACAATAACATATCATAATGAAGTTGAATTATCGGAAGGTCATGTTATAATTTATCATGATGGTTATATACGTCAAAATATTTCTGGAATCAACAAACGCGTAACTCAAAATGAAGATGGAAAAACTGTTTATGTTGAAATAATTGAATCCACATTGAATAAACCTGGTGCAAATTACTACGTTTCAATTGAAGATAATTTTGTAAAGAGTCGAGTTTACCAAGAACCTCTCTATGGTGTAAAAGATCATGTATGGACATTTAGTACAGGTAAGTTTTTTATAATTTCTTCTAATTTAAGCGAAAATGAGTTTTTTCTTTTATTTTATTTATACATTTTAATCATTTTCAAAATAGTTCCAGAAAACGAAGAATTTTCAGAGAGCGTTAAAGGACAAGTTCGATTATCTGTAGAAGGAACTGAACATTTTGATGGACTTGACAAGAGCGAACGCAAAATATTCTTTAAGAAATTAATTGAAGAATTGGCTAATGCTATTCCCGTCAGTTATGATCGTATACTTACCATTGAAAATTTTGAAATTGACACTAAGTCTCATCCAGAACAATTCTTTTTACCTATTGAGATCAAAAAAGATGAATCTAAAAAAAATAGAACTGCTAAATTAGCAATTAAAGATTTAGATTATTTGATTAGGAATAAGGAAGTCACTGTTATTGCATCCGGTGAAGCTTCAAAATATTTAGATGAAAGTTATGGATACACACGTCTTCGTAAGTATTCATCCTTTATATTCTTAATTTTCATATAAGAATTCTCTCAAATCAAAAATTAAATAGTTTACTTATTTACTTGAAAATAGCCAGTCCGTTGATCACTTTTGGACCAGGCCTTATTGGAACATTTGCAGCCGCCGTAATAGTATTGTCTATACTTTATTTGACCAAAAATCCAATCGTTACAGATGTAAATAACCACAATTATATTTTTTTTTAATTTAAACATAAAATGCTTTATTTACATATTTATTTTTATGTTTATTTAGAAAAAGTATCGTGCATTTTTTCCAATAATTCTTATTTTATTAGATGTTGCAATGGATTTAGCGTTTACTTTTACAAAAGCCAACAAAGTCGATGGATTATTTATTCCGAGGTAAACAATTTCTGCACTAAATAAAATTGAAATTAACAGTATAATAAAAATAAAAAATATTTACTATCATAATACATTTTCTATTAGTATTTTATTTTTGATAGTTCCTTTTTTTTTGAGTTTAGCGATTGCAGTTAAAATCATGAACAAAGAAAAAAAAATAAAAAATGAAGAATTCGTGAATTGGTCAAAGGAAAAAAAAATAATCAAAAGGATATTCATGATTTTAGCAGGAGCCAATATTGAAGTTTTTGAATTTCTCGAAACAAAGATAGATAAAATTGGATTATTTGATACGTATAAAATTAAGTTGTCTAAGGAAACTAAAAAAATAATAAACTTCTATTCTTATCTTAACATTTTTATTGAAGATATCCCTCAAATGGTTATTCAGGTATGTTCGTACTGTACATCATAATTTATACTCTATTTTATTTATTTATTTATTTATTTTTAAATATATTTTCAATAGATTATATATTCTAGAAATACGATACATTACGATATAATACCTTTGTTAAATCTTATATTGTCCTGTGTGCTTATGCTTCGTAAACTTATTGGAAAATATTACTTATATAATTCGAAAGAAGAGACTCAAGAAGTGACTCGAGAATTAACCCAAGAACTGACTAATGAGAAAACTACACCTGATGTTGGGCCGGTTTAAATTTGGCTGAGCCTTTTGTTGTCTGTGTTAAATATTTATTATTTTTGTTATAGTTTATAGTATAGTGTAGTATATATCGCAAAATAATTTAGCCGTTCAAGTATTTCGAATTAATAAAAAAATTTAAAATAATATCGCATGCTCTAAAAAAATTAAGTATGTGATTTCGATAATAAAGTGAAAGTTAAGAAATACATATCACTCATCACAGTCCTAATAATTTTTATAAAAACCTGATGAATTAACGTTAAAATTATTGTAGATTAATTTTACAAACTTTTTTGTATATACACAATTTTAAATATTGTTTAAAAAAAATTAAAATAAAGCAGTGTCTTTAAAAAAATTCATCTATAAGTTTTGTAGTTGCAATAAACATGGTTAGATCACGTGATCGCAGGCCATGAAACCACTTTGTTAATAATGTATTTGTATTTATTTTAATGTTTAAATTTCATTAGTGGATTATTTTATTAATACTATCTAATCTCTAATTATCCGATTCATTATGTTACCTGAGAATCCAACGTCATACAATATCAATCGGATAGAGATTACCTTTTAACTTTATGAGAAAGTAAAGATACTATTTATGCAAAAGAGTTTTGCAAAAGCTTTTGAATCATATACCGGGTATCATGCACCAAGTAAAATAGTTTCATCATAGTCTGTTGACCTCAATCTATGATAATATTACGAGGATCAACTTTTTCTGAAGTACTGCATGTGTAAGTTGGCTCCTGCTAGAATTATTAGCAAGAGCTTGGTACGTGACATATTTAGTAAAATTTTTGTTAAATATTAAGATATTAATAAAACAATTATGATCGCTAATTTCAAAGACTTATAAGATAGTTTAAATTCATTTTCGGTAAAAAGATTATTTAAATTACTTTAAGTAAATTTTTTCAAAATAAGAACCGAGTCTTTATTATATGGTCAATCATGAGTTATTCTGCCATGAAAACATTTTTTCTTTGGTGCCAATTTGTGCACATGACTGAGAATCCAATATTTTAAATTTTAATTTTTCTTGACATACAATAAATTTTCGCGTTTTAGTTTAATCCTAATGAACTTATGAAAATTTTTTTTAAGAATTTAATTTATGTAAAACATTCGATTTATTGATTTTTAAATAACGAAAATAAAAGAAATTTAATTTCATTAAAAGGAATTATCTACATTTATTACATATAAAGATACAAATGGATTTCTTAAAATAAATCTTTTTTAAAAATATTTATATTTATTGAAAACCTTCAACAAGCGGATCTGCAACTATTTCACCATCGTTCTTGACCGCCGATTTATTGCCAGAATCTCCAGTTTCTTGGCGTTTGCTATTTTTTCCAACTTGTGGGAATAGGATACCATTCTCAAAACAATCCAAATTGATTTCGTGAAATGTATGCGCAAAAGGATCTGTACTACCATCATTATTAAATTGAACATTCAATCCATCCGTGAGGTCGTAGAGGGTACGATTGTAACTATCAACGATTTCAAATGTAATACAGCTAGTATTAAAAACCTCGAATCCATGGCTGAACATTCCTGAAATTGTAGTGCTGCCGCATTCGTCTTGTGAAAAAAAGAACAATCCCTTAATTGAAGAACTGAAAATCGATTCGGCGAGTGAACATTTGCAAATTGTGTCTTCGTATCTTTTATTCAAAGTATTTCTTTTAGAAACAGATGGGCACGTTTTGGTTCTTTTTTCAAGGTTAATTGGTTCATTATTAATGGAAATTGCTGTCGTAACAGCAACGAACGTGAGGAGAACAACAAAAATTGTAAATTGAAATTTTGCCATTATTATATTTTTATTTGTGAATTTTATAAATGTTTTCAATAAAATTTTGATGAGAGAAGAATGTTTGAAAAGTATTGTTTAAATAACTTTTTAAACAACAATAAATTTCGAACGTAGCGCAATATATAATGAACAAATTATTTAATCTCCCCAGTTTCATATTTTGTATCCTATTAAAAAAATTGGCTGTGCATGATATCAAGTTCATATTTATTATTGTTGGTTAGATTCATAAAAAAGGATACAGCCATAAGATTATCGATGATTACTTGCATAACGCAACGTTACTCTGCGCCTCGCCGAGCATCTGTCAGGGCCAAAAAAAAGTTTTACCGTTAATTTTAACTCATATCCAGTCACTATGGAAGAAAAAAAATTTAGAAGTCTATCCGATAAGATATTAGATCAACAACGAAATAGTGATGGATAAAATGAACAATTTCAAGCTTAATGATGCTAGTGTACAAATTTCTTTGAATAGAATGCTTAATAAGTTATGAAGCAAAGCAAATTCCTACAAGTCATGAATCTTTTCTCGTTTTGATCGGCATTTCAAGATAATTAAATCGCTTAGCATTTATTAATTTTGCTTTAAGTATTTATATATATTACTTTAAATGAATGGTGTCACGAAAATGGAAAAATTCACTAACCTTAATTAACCAGTCAAAGAATATTTAAAAGGTTATTAGGTTATATACATGTGACGATAAAATTAATTGCACAGGAGTTTATTTTCTAAACTAGATGGCCAGCACTGGGAGATCTAGATTTTTTTAATCACTAGAAATTTGATTCTGATAAATTAAGTATCGGCCGGGGTTAAAATTAACTATTTTAACTGGTTAATTTCAATGTTCTTCTTTTTCGAAATGCCGATGTTACTAGGTCGATCAATAATAATTTTTTTCATCAGCTTAATTTCTTATAAAACTAAATTCTGATAATAACTTTAACACGATCATAATAATTTTAAATTTTTCATTAACTTCTATATTTTTTTTTATTTACTTATAATATTGCCAATAAGAAGATATATTATGACATTAATATATGCAATTTTCATATTATCAGATATATAATCAATTCATTCTATTATATTTTCAATGCATCCAATAACGTATTGTTTTCTTCATTGTAAGTAACAAGAAATTTTCCATTAGGTCTAACAAGACTACGTTAAGTGGGTAATTACTCATTTCTGGAATAAAAAATTAATACCTGGGATAGATTATAATTTTTATAAATATAGGGCGCAATTTGCGCCAAACCAAAAAAAAATATTTCCATACAATAAACCTTCCCGAAATAACCGAAACTGCCCTATGCTAAGTTTTGGAAAAGCCACTAAAATTTGTTTAACATGAGCTGAAATTTAGTTTTATTAGGCGGTTAGCAGATTGATTGGTAGCACAACAAATAATGTTTAATTGAAGTTACTATATCGGTCGAAGATCGATAATTATCTGTGTTACCATCTACGGCTACGACATCCAAATTTATAAACCGTTCAATAAATAATATCCTATCTATATCAAGAATATTTTTTTTCTGAAAAATCACGCCTCATAAAAAAGCTGTTAACAGAAATGGCGTACGGTGCAATAAATGAATAGGGCTTAATGCTTCTGGAATACTCAACTTGGTCTGGTCAAACGTTTACAAGTCAAAATCCTAGATGTTGAAACAAATCTTAGATGTGAAACACATGCTTGCACCATAGAGTGATATTTACTTTACACTTTACGTTCATTAGTACAATTAGATGCACTGCCAGTCGTACTAATATCCTTCCGGTTATCTTTTTCCCTACTTCTAGATTTTCATATTCGTGAGCAAATCCTGATACTCAAATAATGAATTAAACATAAATATGTGAAGCCACCGGAGTAATTTTATTATAACATGTAATAAATTAGCGGAAATATTCAAAATATTCATTCCAATTCTATCAAACGGATATTCTGCACTTTTTGTTTGACAGGATATCAAGAATCCAAGTATCACAATTCCTCTTCAATCATAACTCCAATAAATTACATTTTATTTGTTGGCTTAGATATTATATATATTATTTTTATTTATAGAATATAACAATAAAAATTAATTTAAGTACGAAATTTATTCCAAGTCCGGGCCGGTAAGGCTTCAAAATATATAGACATTTGCAGGTCCCTTTTACGGTAAATGTTATTTTAAGAATGATGAGGTATTTTGTCTGAATATTGGTTTCAATTGATCGAAAAATGATTTAAAATCTCGGTTTATTGCTTTTTAGTTTTAAATTAAATATAATTTATGAACCATTATTTGATTGATAATTGTATGTTGAAATAATTCTAGTTTCGAAATTTTACCATGAAAAAGTTTAAGAATTATATTTTTGTTTCCGCAATTTTATCAATCATTTCATTTGCTATAAAACCGATAAAATCACAAAATATTTTTACATATGAAGACATACCAACTATCAACGACAGCGATACTATACCAAATATTGTTAGTATGGTTGGTTATGATGATAGCAAAATAGTCGTCCGTATAGCTCGTAGAAATTCATCAGCCCCTATTCCTAAAGATGGTAATATAGTTTTAGATAAAGCCTTGTCAATTCGCACGATTTATCCAAATGGGACTGTTTTACCAAAAGATATTAAATTGGATATACCAGATATAAACTTTTCTATTATCAGTGACAACGGCGTAGCCAAAATCCCTATTGGAATTTATCCTATAAGAAGTAATTTTCTGATAGTAACTTATGTGAATTACACGAATTTTGATGATCCTTTTAGTTATACTGATTGTGCAATGATCGTTGATTTATATGGAGAGATTTACAAGTAAATAAAATTAAACTTTTATTGTAAACAACTTATTATTTTTATTAATTTGCTTATTCTTTATAGCAACATTTCATTTGAATCGAGCTTTGTTGATATTACCACGAAGCAATGGGTACCTAACCAAGCTGTGATTTATACGAACATTGATCCCAACAAAGGATTTATCCGTTTAGCATCTTTGACAAATTCTTCTGATATATCATGGCAGCAATACGATGTGTAATTACCATTTTATAAATTTTAAATATAATTATAACAAGTAATTTACAATTATTTATTTTTTTTATTTTTATGAAGCACTGAAGCGGGAAATATAATTTTTCGGTCTTCTGATATCCTACCTTTCTGGGCATTCACTTTAAATGTAGCCACGTCAATGGTGGACGGTAGATACGCGATTATTTTTGTTAACTCTACTAATTCTACGGATTCTGCAGCCATTCCTGAAGATCATCAAGGAGTCTACATTAAAATATTAGAAAATTATAATGAAATCGATCGAGAACCATATGTTCTTTATCAAACTCCACTTCCAGGAATAAAGTATTCGAATATTGATTGCAGCGTTTCTTACGTAGGATTTGGACAAACTTGTATAGTTACAGGAAGACATATAAATGATACAGAAAAATTTGATCTTAAGATTAATTTTCTTTCATCTGGAACAGTAATAAGCGTTAATTCATTGAAGAAAGATAATAATACGAATCCATTAATCACTCAATATTCTGTTGCATCGTTACCATATGGAGGTTATTTATTAACTGAGAGAGGAATAGATGAAAATAAGAAAGCCATAATTTCCGGTTATGTTTTAAATGACAATGGTACAACTTTAAAATGGAACCTTTCGGAAAAAGTCGAGTCAAACTTTTTAGTTTTAACAAGAGTTTTGAGAAATAATACTTATGTAATTGCTCAGCTTACGGAGAAACAATCTTGGACTTTGGTCACCACTGAATTGAAGAAATTTGTAGAACTAGGTAAATGATAAACGCAAAACAAAAAATTCTGTTAAAAAATTAAAAAATTTAACTTTCAAATTCTTAAATATTTTAGATAATGGGTATAATAATTTCCATATTGACTCTACCACTCCAAAAATTGAAGATAATATTACCTTCGATACGAAGAAACTTGAAATAAATTATAATAATGAAGTCGATAGATCAGATGGTAACATTAAAATTTTTCAAGGAAATGATAAATTGCGTCAAATAGTTACTGGAAAAAACGATCTCGTAACTCTAAGTGACGATAAAAAAACCGTTTTTGTTGAAATTATTCAGTCCACATTCAATCAAAATAATGAAACTTACTACGTTTCAATTGAAGCTAATTTTGTAAAAAGCCTAATTTACGAAGAACCTCTATATGGTGTAAATGAACATGTTTGGGCTTTTAATACTTGTAAGTTCTTATAGTTTAAGTGAAATTTAGTTAATTCTATTCTTTTATATATACATTTTAATCATTTAAAATAGTTCCAGAAGAAATAAAATTTTCAGAGAAAGTTTTTGGACAAGTTCGATTGACTGAAATTGGGACTAATCATTTTGATAGTCTTAACGAGAACGAACGCAAAGATTTTTTTCAGAAATTAAGGCAAGAATTGGCTGATGCGATTCCTGTCAGTCGTGAACGTGTAACTACCAATGAAAGGATAGAAATTGACAATTCGGCTCCTAAAAGACAATACTTTTTATCCATTAACATTGAACAAGATCCAACTAAAGAAGAAAGGACGGCTAAATTAGCATTTAAAGATTTACAACTTTTGATTGAAAAAAAGGATATCACTGTTATTGGATCCGGGGAATATTCAAATTACTTGGATGAATATGAACGACTTCGTAAGAATTCGTTCTTAATATCATATCAGCGTGTGTTTCAAGATAAATTTCTCTCAAATAAACTAAGTAGTTTACTTATTAACTTGAAATAGCAAATCCACGGGAAGCGTTTGTACCAGGTCTCCTTGGAGCATTAGCAGGCTTATTAACATTGGCTGTAATTTACTTGATTGCCGAACTCGCAAGATATCTTAGTAAAAAACAGAAAGAAAAGGAAGAAGAGAATGAGAAAAAAGATATAAAAGATAAGAAAGAAGTCATAATAGAAGTAGATACAACTTATAAGAAAGATAAGAAAGAA